GCAAAAGTCATTAGGGACAGTTTCTGCAAAATTACTCCTAGAGATATATCTGTGAGTTCAGTGTGTAGTTGACAAATCTTAGATTGATACAACATGTATATTAAACAATGGTTTGATGAAACTTTCAAATGCACTCTGAAGTTCAATTTGACGGATGTGCTTGATGTGTTTGGTAAGGAAAGAATAAATCATAACAGATATGAGCAAAAAGTGACAATGGAAAGATTTAAAGCAAAGAGAAAAATTTTCAAATGTTTTTTGCAGTGATGATAGAAGTTGAGCTTCACTGTATTTAAATGAATAATTTTTAGCTTTCTAGCTATAGTAAATAAGAAGCTGGACAGGTTGTATCAAGTTCATCACTGTTTACAGCCCCTAAAAAAAGTTATTTAATGGACCTATATGAAAAATGAAAGTGGTACAGTTGAATCACAAGACACTACCCTTAACTTTGATTTCATTGTGTCTTTTGCACAGATGGGATCAAACAGCATGTTTACAATATTAGCCTGCACTTTGCATACACATTATAGAAGGTCAACCCTATTCTTGGGCCAGCAAGCATTCAAAATTGACCAATCCCTATGCACCCAATGTAATTTTCATTGTATATTTGTAGAGTGGCCATATCAAAGTTCTTTGCTATATCAGTCTTTTCATACTGTGCTTCAAATTTCATTGGAGGGCGATTGTGACACAAGCCTTTACCATGACACAAGTCTTTGATACCAAGCCCTTTATCTGTAAGCACTGTAGCACCTATGTCTTGCATCATATCCAGCACTCCACAGTCTGCAGTTAAGTCATTATCAGTGACTGACCCTACAGTGCACAAGACTGCCAAAAGGTGTCATCCAAATTCCTGTTTTGCCAATGTCATGGTCCTTGTATGTGCTAAATGTTGCATTATTGACGTCAAAGTTTTCTGGTTATGTAATCCAGTTCTCTGTGCAGTCTCCCAAAATAACTCTGCCCTGGTAACCAGCTGCCTAAACATCCAGAGGTAAAAGGGAAAGCAACTCTCCAGGACAAGGACTCAGGTCTAACCGATCAAACGGAGTTGAAAGAAAAACAGCCAGTGCGGTAAAGATTCTAGCTTGAGTTGAAACACTGGTGCCTGTCATGTATCCAACAGTACCAAAGTGAAGTATATGTCTGCATACTGTCATAAAGCGCACCACCCAAGTTCTTTTTTTCAACTTTCTCAGTTGATACCGTTTCAGTTGCACACTCTATTTTGCTGACTGTGGTGATTTTGTTTGGTACATTTCGCTCAGCAAACTCAGGAGCACAAGGCAAATCTGGAAGATCATTTTAGTTCTCGCGTTCCCCTTTGCTCCGGTGAGGAGAGGAAATGAAATCCCGTTTGAAGTCAATTCCTTTGTTTTTTAGAATTTTGTAATACTCACGCCGTTTCTCGGAGCAGTCTGCAATTTCTTTAGTCTGTAATACTTCAAGTCCTTGTTTTAAGTGCGTCAGGAATTAGTGCAGAGCGTAGCAGCACAATGTAAGTGCTCTTGCTTGACTTTTTGAAACTCTTGGCTTCCTGCCGGGTAAACTTGATGCTTGGTGAGTCCTCACAGTTCAGTCTTTTGGCACACGACCAGTGCTTTGAGCAGATCATGCATCTTCAAATTTACACCCTTTCTGCTTTCCCAGCACTGAATTTGGAGTTTACCAAGACTTTTTGCCGAATTTACAAGACCAGTGCCAACCTGCACGGGTAGGCTTTCCATTTTTCCCGCCATCTTGATATTTGGATTGAGGGAAATCTGTGCAAAAATGCGTTAGTGCCAGGTCCCCGGGCGGTGTGAAATTTCGTAATGGCGGCTTCCTAGCCAGAGCGAGAACGTGCTTTTCCATTCCACTTTCTTGTCAAAAAATGGCGAGCGACCAGGTAAAGATCCTGAAGGAAAAAGCCAAAGAAGCGATCGATATCTATTCTCCTGAATTATATGAATTGAACAAAATTGTTTGGGAAAACCCAGAGCTTGGTTTTCAGGAGAGATCAGCTCACGATCAGCTGACAGAATTCTTGGCGAATCAAGGCTTCGATGTAACTCCTCACTACACTTTGGATACGGCTTTTCGGGCGGAATGCGGAGAGGATGGAGGTCTTACAATTGGACTGATTAGCGAATATGATGCTTTACCGGAAGTAGGACACGCTTGTGGACATAATCTGATCGCTGAATCGGGAGTAGCGGCGGCTTTAGGTATGTTTATGTTGTCATTTGCTTGACGAACTTCTACCTGCCCAATAAAGCGATCCATATTTATGGGGCGCGTATTAACCTATTTTCTCGTTTATTTTCTTAATTAGTTCAATTCGAAACTGAACCGAGCAAGGGAACACAATGAGGCTGAAAGAAATTTGTCCGGTTTAGTGCGCAGGAGTCAGCTTAGAGATACCAAAACTGGGATGAATGTGGCACAATAGAACTAGATCGGAGGTCTTCCTTGAGTAATTCCCTAGTCTGCAAAGTATGGCAGGACTTGACTATGCTGTAGTTATATTAGTGTGCAATCCAGCGATTCTAGCGTCCAAAGTGGATGTTTAAAAGAATTTGTGTATACACCTTGCGGCCATACTCTGCAGACTGGATAATTCCTAAATATAGATAAATTGAGATATCTGGCGTGTGCAAACATTCCCTCAATGATATTTTATATTGATCCTAAATTGTTCATCCAGTTTGAAACTCCTTGAATTGTTTTTAATTCTTAGGTCTCAAGATTGCTTTGAATGCCATTAATCAGAGACCCAAAGTCAAAATAGTTCTCCTTGGAACTCCTGCCGAGGAAGCAAAAGGTGGCAAGATTTTAATGATCAAGAATGGTTGCTTCAAAGATCTTGACTTTTGTATGATGGTTCACCCTAGTCCAGTGGATGTTCTCAAACCAGTGATTTTAGCTCGTGAAAGTGCTACAATTACCTACAAAGGTCACGCTGCTCATGCTGCTGCATTCCCTTGGGAAGGAATTAATGCCCTTGATGCAGCAGTCATGGCTTACACAAGCATAAGTGCACTAAGACAGCAGATGAAACCCACATGGCGTGTCCACCTTATTATTTCTGAGGGGGGTGTTAAGCCAAACATCATTCCTGACCGAGCTCAGCTCCGATGTTCTGTTCGAACTATGAATGACAGTGACCTTGAAGTGTTAAAAGAAAAGGTGAAGAATTGTTTTGAAGCAGCCGCATCAGCCACAGGTAAGTAACTTAAGGAAACAAATCATGGTAGAGTTGTTCCTAGTACTCTGTTTGTTTTTCTATATACTATGTCTTTCTTAAGAAGTATGAGGGCACACCTGGGTAGGAACCCAACTTTCTAAAGGCTAAGTGACTGAGACCTGTATGGAGAAATCTGGAGAAACAAATTTACTTGCTCAAGGATCTTACCCTCTCCCTCCAAATTTCTTTTGAAAAATCCTGTTTGGTCTTTCCCCCAAACTTAAACAGGGGTTTCAATAACTTTTTTCATAAGCATGCCCAGATTGTGTATTAGGTGGCCACACCTGAAAAGGATCATGAGGCTAAACCCATGTACAAGAGCCTGCTCGCTGGCTAAACAGATGGTGATAAGAGGTCTTTTAGGTGTCATTAGACTGCCAGTAATGGACCTCTATTGAAACTCCTGGCTTAAACTAGAATACAATCACAATGGATCAAACAACCCAATTTTTTTTCCAAAAAGAGAAGGAAGTTTGGTCTGTGCCAGGAAGAATCTTGTATTAAGAAGGTGAGTTAGCATAGGATGCACCCTAATGTTTAAAATTTGTTCTTTTCCAACAGGCTGCAAAGTTTCCATGGAGTGGGAAACAGCCACTAAATATTCACATCTGGAAACCAACAACACCCTTGCTGAACTGTACCAAGCCAATGCTGAGTCCTTAGGAGTATCATTTCCACCTGAGGCAAAGTTCTCAGCATCCACTGATATGGGAAATGTTTCACATGTAGTTCCTTCTATCCATCCCATGTATTCTATTGGCACAACTGCACCCAATCATTCTCATGCATTCACAACAGCAGCAGCAACAGAGGAAGCTCATGAGAAAACTTTGATTGCCAGCAAGGCAATGGCCATGACAGCTATTGATGTATTGTGTAAACAAGATTTCATGGGTAAAGTGAGGATTGACTTTAAACAACCAAATGAGGGTGAAAATTAACTGTCATAGATGGAAAAGTGGATATAAGTCAGTAAAGGTCATTAGAGACAGTCTGTGCAAAATTACTTTTCAGTAGATATATTCTAGGGTAAATAATTGACTGTGAGTTCAGTGTGTAATTGACAAATTGTTGATTGATGCAACATGTATATAAAACTATGGTTTGATGAAACTTTCAAATACACACTGAATTTTGATGTGACTGATGTGCTTAATGTGGTTTGATAAGGAAAGAGTAAATAATAACAGATATGGGCAAAAAGTGACAATAGAAATAATTAAAGCAAAGAGAAAGTTTTCAAATATTTCTATGTGGTGATGATAGAAAATTTTGGACTTGAGTGGAGTTGACCTTTGCTGTATTTAAAAGAGTGATATATGTGCTAGAATTTGATGCAGAGTAAATTTGTTAGATGTGGGTGAAAAGGAATATTTTTCAATCAAGTTCACAGTAACACATGAATGTGCTCTCACACCTTTGACATCCACAAAGTGTACACAGTATTTCAGTACTGAAACAGCAGGTGCACATACAACAGGCAACACATATAAGGTCAAGGTTGGCAGGAATTAACTGTTTGAGGGAAAGCCATGGTGAGGGAAAAGTTTCAAGTTGCCAAGATCACATCAGCCATTTCATCATTTTTCATGTCAGAATCCAAAAACTGGCTTTGTGTTTTCTGCTGCTTACAAAGAATAGAATTAAGATTCACAGGATATAATTTTTTGAAGTATTTTTCTTAAAACGTGCTGTGAAATCTCATCCTCTCAGTGAGACTTGTATTTAAAAGCCTTACGAAAGCAGTTTTAAATGTACCTCATCACTAGTGCTAATATTTAAGGTGCTTTAAAATACAAAGATAACTGTAGAGTTGTCATTTAAGACTCAGACACAGAGAAGTACTCTCGTTCATTTTATGTGTAATCCTCCTATATTCTGCATAATCCCTTTTTTTTTATTCTGTACAATTTTACCTATACTCAGGAATAGTAGTTTTGCACCATGCAGCAGTTTTGCAATGCTATTACAGTAGCTATAGTTCAGCATGTGACATGATGCTGTTGTTATGGAAATCAGTACACTACAATCATCTCTCTCTGTTCTCCTTTATCCTCCAACTCCTAAGAGTAACAAGAATCTAATTTCTCACAAGAGTATCACCCCTGAATCAAACATAAAGCCATTAGGTTAAAGGAAATAATTGCAAACTCAAAAAGCTCTCGATTTTCAGACATTCTTTGTGTGAGTACTGTTGGGAATGTCTAGAAAACAGTGTGGAGAATTTGCTTACTGATCTTGAGGTTACTCAAAAAAAGGCTTATTCAAAATTTAATTCAAAACTCCAGATAGATCAATCATTCCATCAAAAGAAAAAAAAGTTTGAGAAGAAATTGCTGTTGATAGAGCCTTTGTGTGATTAAAGAGGATCTGTAAAATGCCAAGTTGTATAATGTATGATTTGGTAAATCAAAGTTTGATCACCTGAAAGTTATGGTAGTTCATTTGGAACAAGGATGGCTATGTATTAAAACTAAAAAGAATTGAAATTAATTCTCAAATGCCAGCTACCTTCATTGAGTAGGAGTTGAATCGTTAGAATTTAATCCTCCACTGCAAAATTCAATCACTCAAATACAAGATTTTTTATTCTGTACAAATAACTTGTTTATCCAGTTCTAAGCTGGTTTGTTAAAGTTGCAAAAATTGTTTTTGATTTTCCAGCAATTTTAATTATTTACTGGTAATGATTCTTGAAATCTGATTGGCTGTTGTGTTTTAGTGATAAAAGCTCCAATAATGACTGCAAAAAAGATGCGATTTAGTGAAAAAAATGGTGTAATTTGTAAACGAAATTGCACCAATGAGAGCCAATCAGATTGCATGGATCATAATTTTAAAATGGATGTAATAAATTTGAATATCTCACCAAAAAACCAATTAATAAATTTATTAAAGAAATAACAGAATCTGTCAGAATAAATAAATTGATCTAATCACGTGTCTGTTATCAAGCAAACATGAAATGGAAAAGAGTAAAAAAAACCAATCACTTTTGAACGATCAAGACGGGTTGTATTCAAAGCTATCTACCCTCGTGTGCGGCAAGGGGGTGGGGGGCACTGGCGTGAAATTTACTCGTCACCAAGCTCGTTCCCAGGGTCCTGTTTCTTTCTTCCTCGAGGGAGAAAGGGAGAGGATCCTGGGAACGAGGTTGACGAGTCACGCAATGAAGGAGGAAAGTTACTACATCACGGGCGACGAGCGGGGATAGAAAAAACGACCCAAATACGAGTGGTCAGCGGTGAAACAACTTTCATACTTCATATATAGATAGATCATTTGTAGTATCAGGAAACAATCGTGTTGTAAAGCCGAAGTGTAAACAGTTTACTTCGCTAAATAAAATGTTAAGCAATTCAAAAGTGTTGATTGTACATATATCTTTTACTGCTTTAATAAACAATGAAGGCATCGGTGGCATCCGAAAGGTACCAAGAAGAATTAAATGTACGTTTTGTAGTTGCAGAAAATAATCGTGTTGTAAAGCCGAAATGTTACCAAGTTACACTTCGCAGAGATTCCAACCCCATGTGATGGAAAATAGGGAGTAATTATTAGTGCCAAAGGCGCGAGCTTCTAGGGGGGTCAGGGGGCATGCCCCCGGGAAATTTTGCAAATTTAGGTTCTCTCAAGTGCCATTTCCTGAATTTTGACATCATTCCGGCCTGAGTTATAACATACCATAATGCTCTTCGCGAAGAAAGTAAGTATAATATGAGTGTTTCACAATGACAGATCGCCAAAAATTCTAAAGATTAGCAATTTTCCCCTAGTTTTCAGAATTTTATGATAAATCGGGAGAATTTGGTAAAAATCGGGAGAGCGGGAGGCAAGACATTAAATCGGGAGACTCCCGATCAAATCGGGAGGGTTGGAATCTCTGACTTCGCTACTTAAAAAGTTAAGCAATTCTCCTCAAGCTTTAA